GCGTAGGTAACGTTGTGATAATTTCTGTAGTCGTTGTTGTTGTCGTAGCAGGCGCAGGTAACGTTGTGATAATTTTTGTAGTCGTTGTTGTTGTCCTCGGGGGCGGAGGTAACTTTATGATAATTTTTGTAGTCTCTGTTGTTTCCATAGTAGACGAATCTTCTGACTCTGCAATAATTGTTTTAATTGCTCCTCAGTTACTCCAGTTCATTTTTTTAATCCAATAATCCGGATAATCAGATTTTGAAGTTGAACAAAATGTTAAAAAAGATTAATATAAGTATTTGAGATTAATAAAACTTTTCACTTCATTTCCATCTTCATTCTTGCATACTTAAAAGCGTTTTTAGGTATTTCTCGATTTTTCAAAAAATAAAAGTAAATTTACCGTCTATATAATGTATGCAATCACCTAGCAAAAAAAATGCTAGCAATAAACTTTTTGGAAAAGCTGACATCGCTACCGACCTCATAATATTTTATGCCAAACTGTAATTACTTGCGCATAAACAATCCTTTTTATACACTCATCAAATTTTTGTACATAAACAGTCCTAAAAATATGCATAATGCATTTGCATTCCAAATCCAATTTGACGATTCTTACAAAAAATGACTTAAAATATAACAGGCAACTGTTATTATGCAGAATGAAAAAATTTGTACAAATACTTGCAACAGCAATTTATGAATTTTTATTCGTCCTAAATCTTTGTTTTCATAAATCACAGTTTACTATTGAAAATTTTGCTCATAAATTTCTTCAAAATACACGTCAAGTCATTATGATTAATTTCGAGAGATTTATGCAAAAGTAAAAGTCTTAAAAATCTAAAAATTGCAAAAAATCATTAACAAAAATGGCACAGTAAATTTTGAGAGCAAATCTGAAAAAAATGTAAAAAAAATTATGCAAATTTTTTCGTCTCATTTTTTATTTTGCAAGCATGCAATGATTTATTTAATTATTTTAATTATTTTTCATCGTAGCTTATTTTCGTTTCATAAAAACAAAAAAATATACTATGCTTCAATGGAAGTAATATGCTTATTATTCAGTTTGTGTGATTATAATTTTAGTATGCAAAAAGTCATCTGATGAATTTCCTTCATTTTTAGTGCAATTAAGGAAATAGTGGTGCAGAATTGAAAGCAATTTCAAATACTCATTCATTTAATTATTTTTTGCTACAATATCTGCAATAATTTATTAATTGTCGTCATCATAATTGTGCATATAATTGCTCAGTTTTCTGAAATTGTAGTCAAAATGCAATAGTATAGTATAATGGATGGTACGGTCTAAGTACAGTTACTCTTATTATATCATTTTCCGAGCATTAAAATTATCACTTCTAAATGGTAAAAGTATCATATCTCTAGCAGTTTTTTGCATTTCTGTGAATAAAATGGAATACTGCTTTATATAAAGCCTTTGATATTAGTTCTTCCATATTTATCATATAACTATGAATTTTAAATTTTTTGCATGTAAAATTGATCTGTAAATTTACAAATTGCATCAATTTTTTCCATTGTTGCAAATGAGCAGTTTAACGAATAGTAGTTTATCAGCTTGGTCAGCATTAACGTTGCGTCATCCTTCATCATCAGATGACCAGAATGATCAACGAAAATTACTTTGGAAAAGAGTGTTACAAGCTATATTATTTATAGCCTGTGGTACTAGTGTTATTCTGATTATAATATTATTTATTCTATTAATAACATCGTTTTCGGATAGTCATGGATTACCCATGAAATTAGAAACAAACATTATGGTTACTCATGTAATGCGACCACTTTTTGTATATATGGTAAGCGATTTCTGTATTAAAAAAATAAAATACTTGTTTAGTTGAGATAAATAATCATAATAATGTAAAAGATTTGCGCTCGAAAAGTCTAATTCAAGTAAACTGCGATCATTAGTTTGAAGTCAAATCATTCAAATTGATCAAACTATTATTCTATTAGGATTTTGATAAACTCTTGTCGAAATACATCTAAACTTTCCTAATTACAAATATTATAATTAGTTAATATGGTATTACTTGGCGTAATTTAAATTGATGATTATTATGAATTGAAGCGAATTATCGTTTAGATGAAAGTTTTCTGCTCTTTTATCAAATGTCATCGCAATTTTTTAAGTGACTGCAACACGCAGAAAACTTCTTTTCAACTAATAATTAACTTTCAACAAATATTTTTATTAATTTACTAAACATGTTCACTTTTGATTGCTGTAAACTCTGTTAATATACTGCGGAAGTCAAAAGTAAAATTATCACGAAATTAATTTAGAAAAAAGTTCTTTTTTTACTAAAATACTTTTTTAAAAAGCAACTTAAAAAAGTTTCAAACTCGCAGATCTCTCGAGAAGGCGACTACTTCTCTGATAAATATTCTGCTATTACACGAAAGAAATCGAAAGTGTTTTCGTTTAACAAAATGGATACGTCAACAACTAACGTAAAATATTAGTACCTTTTGAAAAATACTTCATTTTTCGTGATAAAGTTTTTTTCTTTTTTCGCAAATTATAATCAAATCCATTTTATTTGCTTTTCTCTTCAAATTTTAAAGTTAATTTCAGTTATTGACAGCATTTTGATCTCAGATGAAGCAAAAAAGTTCGTTAGATAATGAATTAAATTATTTCTGATTCATTTAAATAATTTTTAGGAAAAAATAAAAGTTGCAAAAAATAAACTCTATTAATCTGTATATTGCAGAAATAATGTACTCATTTTTTAAGGAAGGTATGAATCAAATGAAAATTTTTGGTAAATACATTCGTATACGTTATATAGACGGGCCACCCTTCGCTAAAGAAACCCAAGTATGTTGGATTTCAGGATTTTTTTGTGATTCAGTTTATCACAGATAAATCTTAAATAGCTATCAGAAAACAACTTACAAATCACTGCATTATTCTGGATATGTTTTTGAGAGCCTAAAAGAAACATAAATTCGTCGTTCAAATCTGATATCTGTTTCAGATTAATATTCGTGCTACAGGAGGAAATGCATCATTAGAAAGTGCTCGAAATATTTTGCTAGGAATGAAGTTAATGGATTACGAAAATTACATAGAACAATCAAATATAGACTATTACGTAAGGAACGAGCTTATCTAATTATTAATTCAGTATCAAAATTTATTCGCATTTAAATAAATTTTCTATAAAAATGTAGTTAATTTGAAATGTCACTAATAAAAATTAATAAACTAGTACGTATAAAATGTATTTTGTCTTATATGAGTTGATCAGTCTGTCATAAATTGGATTAGCAATAAGCATACTATTTAATGCTAATATTTGCATAAAAATTTTGAACTCTCAAACATTCATATATATAATTTACAATATCTATTATGCTGTATATAAACATTCTAAAAAAATTGAAAATACATTTAATAACTGAAAAATTTTTAAATATTAACAAATTAGTATGATATTTTTTATATTATTGCAAATTTTAAATTTATGAATGATTAAATAATTTGACTTTAATTTCAGGAAACCAATCCGATTTATAACTGTTCAAGTAAAGAAAGTCCAAAAGCAACACGCATCGATAGTGATCATGGATGGTCAAAATTAGTTGTTAGTTATAGTAGTAGTAATTAAATTTTCAGGAAGTCATATTTTTGTTTTGAGCATTAAACAAGTTAAGATTCGAAAAAAATAGATTTAGACACTTACTGGGAGAAAATAGTTTCAAACACTAACAGAATCTGCTTTTCAATGTTGATTGATCTGAAGAAAATCAGCCTATTTAATCAGTGAAGGATTTCAAAGTATATTGAATAAACATAAATAATGTAATCAAATATTAGTCAAAATCAGATTTTCACAAAAAATTCTCAGCAAAACATTAAGCATTAACAAAAGAGATGGCAAGCTTCAAACTGTGGAATCACAAAATGCGCAAATGAATCATTATTTAAGTTATGTCAGGAGATTTCAGTATTCTCAAGAAAACTTACTTGAGCAACTTGGAATCAAACCAAATGATTCAGAACTACGAAAGTTTCGATGTGCGAAAATCAGTTTTTAACAATACATCAAACTGAAATAATATATTAAATTAAAATTGTACTTCAACTTCTTTTAGAACTTTACACTCAATTAGCAAACTTAACTTCTACACAAAATTTTTTATTTAAAGAAATTATAAATTTTGCATGAATACTTAGTGCTAATTTCTAAAATAATTTTTCATGTCTTTGCATTTCAGGTGGTAGGATTCTTCGTTATTTCGTGAATCTTCTAGAAAAACAGATATCATGCCTGAATGCCTTTAATACTGATAGTATTTGCAAAAAAAATTTGCATATTATTTTAGTGGTAAGTTTTAATGAAAAAATTACATTGCTGCAAACAATTAATAGCTTTTTCAAGTTCAGGTAAAATAATTACACTTTTGCAAGTAATTACTATTTTTTGAATCTTAGATATTGATAAACTATTATATTTGCAGCCTGATAAGGCTTCAAAGCATGGAGTGCGAATTTGAATGAATTACTTGTACACAATTATTATAAATAAGTAATGGTGTTACAGCCTAAAGTAACAATGGTTGCATTAATGGCCAATTTCTGGAAACTGAATTCAGTTCTGGCAGTATCACGCTCGAAATCAGGTCCTGGTGCAAGCTTTATTTTTGAGTTATGGCGTATTGATCGGAGATATATGGTAAAGGTTAGGCTTTTGATGTACATTACAAATAAATTTTTGAAGACTAGTGGTTCCTAAGGATCAACTTCAAAATCAAATTGTTCTATCAAGAAATTAGCAACTTTTCTCGAGAATTTTTGGTGATTGACTAATTTTTTTAAATCTTCTTGCTGTGCAAATTATTCATTATTCGTAGCATTATGAACATTTTGATAAAATAATTTAAAAGGTTTCAAGTTACATTCTAGGATCAAAATCAAAGTTAGATAGCAATAACTCTTAGAAATTCAATAAGTTATGTAAAATAATTTAATATATACATATAGACTGTTTTAAGATTTTATACGCGCTAAATTATAATGCAGCACCAGTAATAGCAACAGCGTACGTGGATGGTTGTAATGGACAGTTCATATTTTGTTTTCTAAAGGATTTATTGCCAAAATGGAAGAAATTGTATTATACTGAAAATGAAGAAAAACGAAAATGCAAGGTATCTAATCTTTATTTTTCATAAAAAATCAAATAATAAAAATTCAAAATTCTACTCAGATATTCCACATTTATATGGTTTTCCTGAGAATGTATGTAATTTTTAGCAATATGTCAATGAAATATCGCATCAAACAACTGCAAAACTTTGAAAAATGGCTGATAAGATTAAGTTTTCTGTAAGTTTGTTCAGATTTTCATTTTATGTCTCAGAAATTACTTCACAGTAAGTAAGTAGACAATATTTAAAGCAGTTGACTGATCTGAATAAAAAAATATGAATGATTTGAATGAAAGATATTACAGGATATGGCACTGATCTGAACTATTATAGGATATGCCACTGATCTAAACTAAAGAGATTAAAAGTTTATGCATCAAAATCGAGCACTTTATGTATTAAAATCAGCAACAATGAAGTATTCCGATAGTTGTTGTTTTGTATTATAACTAATTTTGTGTGAGTAATTAGATGCTTACTTAAGTACTTTTCATTGAAACAACAATATTTTTCATTCAATATAGTACTGAATGAAAAATATTGTTGTTTCAATGAAAACTTCACTCGTTAGCGATAATTTATTGGTGTAAGCTTGGCAACTTACGGAAAAATAAGTTTGTAACTAAGTATGTATTACATGTCCGCATCTGTTCACGAATAATAATTCATCTTTAAAGTTGCAGTTAACATTTTAAAACTTTTTAACTCTATTGATGCCTCAGCGAGTGTGTTGACTGAATGATATATATATCATACAAAGTATAGACATACTTGGCAAGGAAAATGCTGAAAAACGAAAATTACAATCAGAAGGCGGCATCGCCAGATGCTACCACCATGAAACGACGTAAGAGTAAGAGACGAATAAATCATACAGAAGCATACCTTAAATAGATTTTACCAAGTAATAAGGCTTTACTTCGGGTATAATTTATTTGACATACTGTAACTACAGTTCCGGGTGATGTCAGTACAAAGCACTTATTCAAAATTATTTGCGGTCATACTAATAGGTCTATCAAATTCAGTAAGTTATTCAGCTTTGATCTTTACTTGGAAGTAAGAAAAAGCAAGACAATAATTTTCTTCTTTTTTTGGGTCTGAGTCAAGCCTGGGTCAGCATCAAACAATGGTTGTGGTCATTTGCGCACACACTTTGCTCTAATTTGAAATGATTTTTGCATTATTCAAAACTATTGACTAGCGTAGTTAGACTAAACGGAATGAATCTTGAGTGAAGCGTTAAAAATTTGCAATTTGACACTTCATTCATGCATTTGTTCAATTTAGTAAAGTAAACTGTACCAACTGGAAATTCAGACATTTGTGGTCATAAATACATAATTAATACTAAAATTTGATACGCAAAACATAGTACTACAAGTATTGAAAAGCACAATCGTCTGAATCTAAACAGTTGAGAAGCACACAGTAAGTTAGCAACAATCATTTTAATGACTTTTTTGAAAATTTTGCCGAAAGAACTATTATATTGTATTTCACGTACTGAACATGCTTTAAACAGTAATTCAGTAGCAATACAAAATGAAAACGACTGAGATTAGCTCATCGCAACTACAAAGTTTCCAAAATCAGTTTTGCATACTTCCTTTCGAGACAAATTTTTTTAAAGAAATCGCAATTGTATTATTATATTTATTAAAATTTAATTGCCACTATAACTTTTTTTTTGATTTTCTAAACGTAGTAATTTCTTAGACTCAGTTACTGTTACTTTTACAAAATCTTTTCGGCTGCCTTCTTTCTCATTTTGTACAGTGGAAAATGTTGCTGCTTTAGCTTGATCAACTGCTTTGCTTCAATATTGGATTAGAGTTAGTTTCGCGGCTAATTTCAGGTAAGTCCTGAAGTTCCCTTATAAGTATTCTTTTTTCCAGCTGTTAGTATTTTTAGCAATAAAGTTGATTTGTGCTCAAAAAATTTTCATTTCTTGCTATCCGATATGAGTTACTTTGAAATTCCGTTTGACATTCCATAATTGAGTGAAAGATGTTGGTACTGTTCTTTACACGCTGAACTCTTTATGCATTTGTCTAAGATCATACTTTTGTACCATTTTTACAATACTGTAGCACTTCAATCACCATTTTCTGACAACATTACAGTATTGCTTCAATCTTTCGTAGCCTTTATCTGGTTTTCATTTTTTATTAATAATTATGATACGTAATATTTTTATGTTCTATTCTTGATCTATTTGCACATAATTTTTCAAGTAAGTTGTATGCTTTATTATTGTATGCTTATTTAAGAATAGTATAAACTTCCTTGTACGGTTTTTTTGAAATAAAAAATTATTTTTTAAAACATTTTTAGAAGCATTTTTGTTTACTATGCAAAGCACACATTCACTATGCTACATATTCCATACGTTACGCTCTCAATACTACGCATTGAATATGCTAACAAAAATTTTTACAAAAAGAATATTATTATAAATAACAAAGATATTTATAAGTCAAGAAAACTTTTTGATCGTTGTATTAATGACTATTTCTTGTTGTGTTATTGTTCTTTACCTTAGTCAAAAGAAAAAAAACACACTTTTTTCAACAGAAGTTAGAATTTAAAGTCTTTTTTGAGCCCAAACTTTTCTAGCAGTTGTATTTGTGTTTTGTTTCGTGTTGAGTTGAACTAATCCATTGATAGAAATTGAAAATTTAAATTTGCCATCAAAAATTTAATATTTACGCTACTTACAGTTTTATCATTCAAATTATGTTATTAATGCATTATGCAAATATTTACAAGTAAAATAGTTCAAAAGAAATTATTGCTTATCACCGCAGTTGTGCTTTTTATATAAATTTTTTAAAATTATTTGATCATTCCTTTTACAAGAAAGTAATACTAAACACTAAATAAAATATCATTTAACTGCAATAAAACGCAAATTATAGTAAATTACTGTATTTCGTTTCGATTCAGTTTGATTTCTAATGATTTTACTTTTGATTACTTTAACTTATGTAGCAAACATTGCTTATTTCAAGCTATATATAGTCCAAATATATAAATTCAATTTTTTACAGGCAAAAACATCGTACTTCAAACATCATACAAAAAGGCTTATTGGAGATTCTTAGTTTAATTTACAAAAATTTAATGTTATTTTTTCTTAAGAACTAAAAGAGAGGAAAGAAATTATATCTGAAATATAAATAATAAAATATAAGACAGTCGAATAAAACTTGCTTTTTGACAATATGACTTTACAATGAATGAAATGTTTTGTTTGTGCACCTTAGAATTTGCATAAGTTCTCAAGAATATTTCAAAAAATGAATATACACACGATGCCAAAGAATTATGATAACTGTACTTCCAAGTTGATAATGCTAATTAGTGCAATTATAATTTATGATAATTTTTTTACCTTAACTCTTAACTCTGCAAGGTAAAAAAGACTAAACAAGTGAAACAAATCTGATATCAGATACTGAATCCATGGAAGTTCTCGAGTTACCTATGTACTAGCAAATGTCTATCAGTTTAAACTCTAATAATTTTGCCTCTAAATCCTAACTTTTTTATAAAAAGAATTTTTTTTAAAGAGGAAAAGATAACAGCAAGCTTTAACGCTTTGCTGATAAATCTTTTCCAAAATATTTTCAAGCTATTTAATCGAATTTTAAATGTGTTCTAGTTTTCAAGTAATGCTGTATTTTGTGTAAAATTATTTGTTTCTAGTTTACTGTCATATATCCTCAATTAATATGCAAATAACATATTAAATTCTTTGTCATACATTGGCATTTTATGTCGCATATTTATATATATTTTGAATTCCGTTAATTTGAATTAATTATACTTCTTTGATTGATTGCAATGAAATGATATGCAAGCCAATTCCTTTCTAATCTTCAGATTTTACTCATTACAATATAAATATTACAATGAATAAGTGTTTGGATATGAATCTGAATGCTACTTAATACCTCTCCGGGATATTTTTTACTTTTGCTACTTTTTCTATTCCAATTAAATTCAATAAAATATTCCAAAAGCAATTA